CTTTGGGCTTGTCATTTTATTGCTCATTGTCTTCTTCATTATCATTTTCATTTTCTTGTTCTTCATCTTCTTCCTCTTTGTCATCTAGGCCACCAACACTTTGTTTTGCATTAGTTGGAGAGTCATCCTCGAATATATCTTTGAAAATTCCTTCAGTATGTGTCATCTCTGTATCACCCTCCACGTCAACGAAGGCATTATTATCTTGTGGGTTCTTTTCATGTTCATAATCAATTGTTTGAGAATGTTCGGTGGTGACCTTTGGTGGCGAGTCTTTTTCTTTAGCAGGTTTACTTACCTCATCAGTATACTCTTTGTTAGAATCTTTGGGAGATGTTGGATGATAAGAAGGAGTGCTTGTGGGATGATAGGAAGGATCATTGCTGCTTATATGGATAACTTGTTCGATGGTTGGTTGCTCCGTGCCATCTATGACACCCTGAAAAATCAAATATGGGTAAGTCGAAAGTAAATAAAAATCAATTGGAAACATAAGAGATTAAGGTAGAATTTTTACCTTAGGACCTTCAGCCTCAGGGCTAGAATTGTCACTTTCGACCCGGTTAAGATTTTTCTTAGTAATATGACTCTTAATGGTTGGATCAGGGTCAACTTTGAGTACTCTGGGAGTAAAAGGATTCTTCGCTTGAGTCTTGACAACTTTGGGTTTTGGTTGAGAGCTAGCATCAGAAACCTTTGCTTGCTTCTTCTTCTTCTTGGATTGTTTTGACGTTCTTTTTGCTTTCTTTTCTTGGGTGTTGGTGGTGGTTTTCGACTAGCCTGAAAGGAAATATACCATAGATGTTAAAATATGAGGGCAATATATAAAGAAGAATAGTAATAACAAACGAAGTATACCTTTGTTATTGTTTTCGTGGGTTTTTCTTCGTCCTTCTCTCCGATGACATCTTTGTTTGTGGTAGCGGACTTCTTGGAAGGAATCCTCACAGCTGAAAAAAATATCAATACAATTATCATAAGTAAAAGATAAATAAGGAATTGATGAAAGAGGTGAGTCGAAAAACCTTCAATTCCACACCTTCGTATATTGGAGACTCTACACGAACATATTCTATACCAATATGAAGGTGCCCTTTGAAACTGTCTAGAGTATGCTTAGTTAGAACCACTCGCTTGACACGTTTTTGAGATTCTTGTTGAAAGATTTTTACAAAGTCCCCACAGATGAAAGTCTGGGAATGGAGGACTAAAAGCCACACCAAATTCAGCACTTGACAGTTGAGGAAATTTTGGGGGATACATGTTAAAAGCTAGTTCGTACCATTGTTCAAGTTTAAGAAACGAAGGTAGTTTTAATCTTCTAGTTTCTTTGTGAATTTCTCTTTCAAGGTAACAGATGCTTTACGAATGGTTCGACTAAGGTCATCAGATCTATAGGCAATTTCAAAGTATTTTTGTAATGCTTGGATTTCTTTGATGTGAGTCGAAATATCTTTCTTGACTTTTTCCTGCATAGAAGCGAAAGCACAAGTTAGTTATTGAGTAAAGGCAGAAACATCAAAAAATTCGGTGGTATAATAATCCTTCAACCAAGTATCAAATTCTTGGATGAAAATGAATGATGTCTTAAAAGCAATAGGAGTGAGTTGTGTGATGCCAGTATATCGAGCCATTTCTTTGTTACATTCACCTTCTGTATGAATCATGTTGTAGAGAATCAATGAGTTCTTCTTGGTGAAGAGTGGTTGTGGTATAATTTGAATGAGACCAAACTGTTGAGAGACAAGATTGAGTTGATAAATGAGAAGAATTTGAAATCTTGAGGGACTAAGTCTTGTAGCCAATTGCCTAGGGTGAGAAACGCTTCCCATATGGAAAAAGATTATGCTTCTTGGTCCTTCAACGAAGCAGGAAAGTTTCTTGGGAACCATTCAGGGCCATGCTTTCTGTCAGCAAAAGGAGCCATGTTTGGTGTGAAGCTGTAACGCTTGGCGAACATCATTACATACCCAGTGAAGGTTTGTAGAAGATTTAATCCTTCGTCACTAGGAGTCAGCAAAGCAAGGCGTGTCCCTTCGACCCTCATATTCTTTATTTAGCCAGCCTCTGCATTTATGGGATTACAAAATGGTAAAGATGCTTCGAAGGTAGCATTCAACCATAGTTGCAACAACCAGAAAGGACCAGAAAGTAGCAAGTTCCCTTTGGACTGAAAGGTCTTGATAGCTGTAACGCCTTCCCCTAAGGAATCATAGAGACTGGCCAAGATCATTTCGCTGAGACAAAGGTTATGTCCAGCATGTAGTTGGTTCGCCATGGTCAGGTACCTCTTCGCCACTTGAAGCAATCTCGAGCAGAATACCGACACAACCATAGAGCGAGGAAAGAAATGTGCTCTTGGTCAGAAACTTCGACAGAGTCCTTGTCATGGTAGTATGCATTGTAGGTGGTGAAAGCAGCTTTAGTGGTGTCGAAACCAATAAAGTCTTCAACCATAAAGTTTGGGTCATAAGTTTCCTCAACTGGTTTAAGCCCAGTGATGGAAGCAATATCAAAGAGGGTAGGTGTCATCATTCCACAAGGAAGATGAAAGATATCGTGGGTGTTATCCCAGAATTATAGAGAGGAAACTGGCATGGATTAACAATAGCCATGTCCAACTTTCGACAGCTGAATCACGTTGAAGATACCTATATAATTCCAGATTTGGAATTTTTTTTCTTTTCTATCTTCTCTAGCCAAGCTAAGTAGTCTGAAGGATCCTTAAATAAGGGGCATGATCAAAACTCCCTAAAACTATTATTCATATAGTCTAGATTAATGGATTTTTCAGGGGCCTCATATGAAGGCGAGCCTTGGTTATCAATTTTTAGTTATTCATCAGCTTTGATATCTTCATTAGCCCTAGGTTTTTTCCCATTAGCTATGGGTTTATAGCGATGGTATGTGAGGAAAAATTCCCTAAGTCTATTAGGGTTAACAGAAGGGTTTGATGGGGGGGGGGGGGACCTAAAATAGCATATGTTTTGCCAGTAACAGAAATGGAAATGAATACTTGAGACTAGTAGATTCTTCTATTTTCTTCTTCAAATGGAGGCTCGAGTATGTACTGTTGGTTACCCACAACTCTTGGGCCCAAGATCTTATGAATCGAAGTAACTTTAGTTGATTTCTTGGATTCTTTTGTGGTCTTGGTTGAATCTTTGGAAGCTTTGGTAGAAGACATCATTGATGCAACAAAGATTGAAGAAAAAATAGTTTGTGTTTGTGAAAGATGAAGAGTTCAAGAGGGACACGTGCCAGACGGTGAGCAAGCGATGAGACGGTGATAGTTGAACTAGCCCATGATCTCCTAGAAACTAGGAGCATGATTATTGCAAAAAAGATTCTCACTTGGTTTTGAGAAGACGTTTGAGAAAAGGTGTCATGATGACTATGACGTCATACTAGACAAAAAGTTTATGGCGTCGAAAGAAACTTTCAAAAAATGTCTTTTTCTCCATTTTAGTCGAAAACGACATTTTTGGGGGGTAATTCGTTAGCTGGAAGTTTCAACGCCAAGGTTTGATGGAGAATGATAAGCAAAAGAAATATTTTTAAGAAGATGTTTTGGATTTGACATGAGTAATATTGAAGATCTTAGTTGAAGATATTCTTTGTAAAAAGGATATGCTGGGTTAAGATTTAGAAATATTTCTGAGTTTAAACTGCAATTTCGACGGAAAGAATCCTGAGGTTGCGTTCGACGAAAATTTTGAATTTTGAATAAGGATGATGATTGTCTTTTGTTCTTATCTGATTCTCAAAGGTGACGCGTGTATAGCTGTGGCGAATTGAAGACATGCAAGTGAAACGTGTCATTTTCTAGAGAAAATACCGTTGATAGCGGTTATTTTCGACGTAGTATAAATAAGGGTCTTAGTATGTAGGATTCTGTGTGTTCAATCATTATACAAATACTCAAAAATTACTCAAAGTATCTAAGTGTGTTGAGAAAAGAGTTCATTGAGAATGTACGTGTGAATCACCATATTTTCATTTCAATTGAAGTTATTTACAGTTTATCAATTACTTTCTCATTGCAATTTACTTTGAAGTTCTTTATTAATTGCAATTCCTTTACAAATTATGCAATTTACTTTTAAACTTTAAACAACATTCTTCAATCACGGGCATTATCGAAGTGTTCATAAATTGTCAAATATAGTTTTAACAAAAGCACATGTCCTAAGATTCACTGGTTGATCCTCTAAAGTAAACCATTTTTGCAGACCAACGATTGTTTACTAATTTTCATGATAAACACACCACTAAAGAAGTGCAACACATTTGTGCAATTCAATTTTATCTATGTGCATTATTTTGATCATATTTCAAATTTGAAAGTTTGATTGAGGTGCATAAAAAATAGAAAGTATAATTTTGACCCTATTACACTACTAAATTATAAAATTAGACTATTTTGTATTCCACTGTCCTATAATGAGTGATTCATTTAACATAAAATAGTGTCTTAAAATAAATGATCCATTTCAATTTTCAATAAATTTTTTCTAATTTTACCCTCTAACTAATATTACTTTCATCATTTTCGGTAAATAATAAAAATACTTTAGTAAAAATATCATTCTTTCATTCATTTATTTTATTTTTTTAATCCAAATAAAAAAGTTAACTAAATCATTGTGAAAAAGAGTGAGTAACATTCACTCATTACCCTACATATTTAATGAAAAGAAAATGTACATAATTCATGTTCCCCATTACAATGCCTATTTTGTAACATTCTCCCATTATTACAATGCCTATTATGATGCCCATAAACTGTACATCATTCATGTTTTATGTGGAAATATTTTATGTTAATACCGCAATCAGTATGCATCATTTGCAAAGAAAATCTCATATAATAATAACCATGCTTTGCATGCCTAATTATTAGACTAACATTATTATTTAATTATTTCATACTAGTATATTGTATATGTATATAAGTATGTAATTCTATGGCAGTTTACTCTACTTCAAAGCTTAATATCATGGCAGTTTACTCTACTTCAAAGCTTCATTTCATTTTATACTTATCATCAACCCTTTTGCTACTTTCTTCTCTTCATGCTCAAGCTGAATCTCAGAATCTTAAATATTGTCGTAATTATACTACCTTACATGTACTCTTCGTTTTCAATATGTTTGTTAAACTATTTGGTTATTGATTTCAATATTGTACCATGCAGAAAAGGATGTAGACTATGCAGTGAAGGTCAGCAGTGTAGAAATATTACCTGACCCTACCGTGAGAGGAGAGTCATTCACCTTCAGAATTGAAGCTTATACTGGTCATACATTCTTTCTCTCTTACTATACTGTGATCATTTACTAACATATTGGAAATTAATTAAAATGATATCTATCTTTGATGCAGATGATCTAATTCATAATGGTGATTTAATATATGAAATTTTATATGATGGGATGAAAGGAAAACCTGCAATATTTTACCATGCTCTCAGCGAGGAAACACCACTTCCTGTCCGTCCAGGCCACTTTTTGCTTACTCATACTGAATTTTTGCCTCCACTCACCCCGCTGGTTAGTATCACTTTATCGCAATTCATATCGTGCGTGTGTGTGAGCGCGCCCTTGTTCGCGGGGACAATGTATATATTCATTTTCTCTATATAACTTGTGGACCTCATTGCTTAAAAATGTCTTACTTATTGTAGGGTACATGTAATGTGAAGCTGACCTTCGTTGATAAAGACGGTGATCAATTAACTTGCATCATCTTTCCCTTCACCATCGGTGCTAAATCTTCAATATCTGCTTCTTAAGTGTCTAGGACTTCTCTGATATTTTAAGCTTTGAACTCATGTGTTAACTAGTGAAATGTCATGCTTCGGGCTATGACGTCTTAAATGTTCTCTTGTTATAATAAATAAGTTGCCGGATCCGAATTTAACCTATGCTGCTTTATCTTTAATAAATTTGAACCTCAACAGAAAAATTGACAGCGGCTCCCTGATGATGTTTTGTTGGGGAACTCCAACCTATCATGATTGAAAACATTCAAACAACTAATAAAAAGCGAATGAACCCAATTAAAATCGGGAGAGGATAGTCCAAAATTAACTAACTTGTCAGGCACGACATTGTCCTCTTTGAAGGAATTAAAGATAGTGGAATTCATGCTCCTAATACACACAAAACAATTGATCCACCTATTTCTTAGCATCCAAGGATCCAAGGAACAAAGGAAGATGAGTTATACGCAAGAATGACTAACTTAGAATCGGTTTCCACCTAGTTATACCAACCTTTCTCATGAGCACACTTATGGCATTCATGACACCAATGAGCTCATCATGGTAAGTTGTACCAATGCCCGAGTTGACAGTAAAGCCATCTAAGAACCTGTCGAAATTGTCTCTAAAAACATTAGCACACAAAGACAAACCTGGGCAACCAATAACCGCATCATCCGTATTGCAATTAACCCAAAAACCAATAGGAGGTTTCCAAATTATCTCCTTGAAGTGAATAGCTTTAGAAGGATGAAGCCACCTAAGAACCTGTCGAAATTGTCTCTAAAAACACCAGCACATGAAGACAAATCCAAGCAACCAATAGCCGTACCATTCGTATTGCACTTAACCCAATAATCAATAGGAGGTTTCCAAATTATCTCCTTGAGACGAGTAGCTTTAAGTGGATGAACTTTGATATGGAAAGCTTTGAGAAGAACAAAATCACGAATAGAAGGACCAGACACAAGGGAGGTGTGATTCCCAGAGATAGCCTAGTTTGTCAAAATCCAGTTCTTAGCCACGTTCAGATTAGGCAATAAGTTGTTGAAGCGAGATTGATTTTTGTGATACCAAATATCATTAAAGATGGTATCATTGATGACAAGAAGACATTCAGGGCTCCAAGAAGGATCAATGAACGACCACAACTCAGTAGGGTGAAGAGGGAAGAAAGCCACATTAATGAAGCTAGAGAACCAGGTCCAAATGACAGTTGCAAAACGACAGTTGAAAAAGATATGTAAAGTAGAGTCTTTCTGTAACTTGCAAATACTACACATAGAGGAAAGATGGCAACCTCTAAGCTTAAGGTTAATATCACAAGGCAGCCTGTTATGCATGAGCCTCTAAACAAAGAGAGATCATCATGTTAATTTTTGCGGTGTTCATAGACAAGTCTAATAGAATGCAAACTGTATAATCTAAAAATTAAATTTTTTTAATAACAAAGCATAAAATATATATAAATATAGATAAAAGTAAAAGATAAATCAAATAAATAAAAAAGAGCACTAGTAGTGTGAAAAAATAACAAGGTTAAAAGTTAAAACTGAAATTTCAGTCAAACTAAGAAAAACATTCAAACAAAGGAGAAAGAAAGAACAAGCCTCGTAACCAATAATATGATTTATCTTAAAACACAAAACAAAACTCTACAGAGAACAAATAGGAGGAAGACAAACCCGACCATCTGCCCAAAACAAAAGGAGGGGAACTGACCGCAAACTAAATACCTACTCAAATGAGCAGGTCAAATTCCTAGCTTAACAGAGAAACGAAAAAAAATCCGGAGTGTGGACATAAACCCACTTACACGCCAAGTTAATAAGCATAAACATTATGGGATTAATTGACCAACTTTTTTGACAAAAAATTACTTTATTACGCAATTTCCAAATCGTCCAAACCACAAAATGCATATTGAAATCAAGCCTAAAGAAAGCAGTCTACCTTGACCTAGACTGTAAAACATCGCAAACTCCCATAAAATCGAGCGGGGAAGAGTCCTAGTTCGACCCAATCACCTCAAAACTCTATACCATATGGTTGTAGCAACGTCACACAAGACAAAAAGATGATTAATCGACTCCCCCAACTCAACATACAACACACACCCTGCATTGCTAAAACTAGATTCAGTTTGACGCCTCAAAAGATTTTGCATAGTCGATAACCAATTCTAAAGTAGTTGGCAAGAAAACATTACCACTTTGGAAGGCGCCTAAATCTTCCAAACTCTGATAATCCCCCGCATAACCATCTCAAACATACCCTTTGAATAGTCAGCCGAGGCTAGAAGGGTATCATAAGCCAACCTTCTCGAGAACCCTCTATTTGGTTCAAGTTCCCAAACCTAATAATCTTCTCTGCTGACCCTAATAACTCTATAATAAGACCAATCATACTCTCTAACAACACCTACTCCCAAATAAGAAAATGACCCATCCATTAAAAGGCTCAAACTCATACATTCCTCTACCAAGAACCCAATGAGCCCGCTACATGACAGTTTTGTTTTGAGACATGAAACAACTTCTCAAACTCCACACACAAAGGGGTAAACCTGACCCAAACATCATTCCAAAACCTTGTATTTTGATCATCCTTAACCATATTGGCACAAGAATAAGAAAACCAATAAGACATCTAATCTAGTGGAGAACCAAGGAAAGAAACACATATCCACTAAGGAGACACCCTCCAAAGACTACCTACACAACCCCCAACAGAAAAATAAAGTCTTAAGGACCTGACTTAACCAAGCTAATATCTCTCTAAAAGGAAGGTACATCTAAAAGGATCCTTCATCTTCAATTACTTAGCAAGGTACAATTTACTAATTTAAGGTTCTTCACCTCTAAGTCATTTTCCCTTTTGTCTTTGCACACATCTTACTCTTTAACCCAAGCGACCTTTAATACTTCTTTAGACCCCCCTCCCTAATAAAAATCTTCTCTACATACCAACTATCAGGGCAAAAAAAATACCCGAGCGCATCGCACGCACGATGATACAACAGAGTCGCCACCGAACTTTATTTATTCCATAAGAAAAGGGAAAATATCGATAAAATCCCAGGGAAAGAGAAATGGGTAAGGGAGTCGGTTATGCGAGGGGAAGGTATTAGCATCCCTCGCATTTATCGTACTCGACGGGAACCATTTTGCTTGTTTTTTTCCTTGTATGAGTGTTATTATTTGAAGGTTACTTGTGAAAGAGAAAAAGGTTTATAATTAGTGTGCTCGTGGAGGATTAAGGTCCTTGTGCCTACGCATCCTCATAGTGCAATGAGGAAATCAGAGCTCCGTAGTTCGAGGGATTGGGGGAAAAGTAAGGAAGGTTAAAAGAAGGTTGAGGATGAAGGAAGGTTGGAAGAAGGTTGAAAATGAAGGAAGGTTGCTTGCCAAGATCTCGCAATCTTGTGCCTACGTATCCTCATAGTGCAATAAGGAAGTTAGAGCATCGTAGTTCATAGAACTAAGGATAAGAAGGCAAGTGGTGTCATAACCAAGATAAGGTAAGAAATAATTGATTGATTAAAATTCAAAAGAGTGCGGTGTTAACCAATATATGGTGATTTAGCCAAAGAGAAAAACAAAGGTGTGGCGTTGATCAATAAATGGTGTGGCTAAAGGAGAAACAAATGATCATTGTTTGAATAGTGAGAGTATGGTCTGAACCAAAGGATAGGAAATTTCCAGAGTATACAACTCTATAGGCATAAAGGGATGCCATGATCTATAACCCTACAAGCAAGATGAATGATTGTCAAGGTCTATGACCTTATAGGTGAAAAACTGAACTACTAGGGTTTATAACCTTGTGAGGCATAAGATATTTCCAAGGTCTATAACCTTATAGGCAAATAACTTAATTTCTAGGGTCTATAACCGTGAGGTGCAGGAGAGATTGCCAAAGTCTATAACCTTATAGGCAAAGAACTGAATTTTCAGGGTCTATAACCCTACACGGCAGAGAAAGAGGTTGCCAAGGTCTATAACCTATGGGATAGATAAAAAAAATTGATTAAGGATGGTGTATAACCATTGAGATTAATCCACATGATGTGAGTGTCAATGAGAGTATGACACTTGACCCAAAGAGAGGGTGAATTGTTGATGAATTTTGTTGAAGTGTTGAATGTGTTGCCTGAGGAAGACTTGTCAATTACTTGGTTCAAATTGCACTAAATTTTATGAGTAGAGGTGAATACTTTGGGCACTATATCATTTGTCTCGGATTCAAAGATATTCAGAATGAGGAAAGGAATTCTCCATCCTGATTCCTTCTCTATCACTTAAGGCTCGTGGCGCACAACTTGAATTGTAATTGATAAGTGTTGAAGAGTCTTTCTATTGTTGTGCTTGGTACGGTGCTCCAGCTTGGATCTTGAGTCTTGAGCTTGTGTTTAAGATGATTCTTGTTGACGTTGATTATTATAGTGTTGTCCATGAAGAAGACTTTGTTAATTGTCGATTCAAATCGCACTAAAATCTATGAGTAGAGGTGAATACTCCGGGCATTGGGTCATTCGTCCCATACCCAAGGATATTCATAATGAAGGAAGGAATTTTCCATTCTCATTCCTTTTCTACCACTTAAGGCTCGTGGTGCACAATCTGAATTATCTACGCACCTGGATTATCTGTACTTCCGAAGAAGCACAGACCATAACAACAACAACAAAAGGGGTGAGAAATCACGATCAAAATATAGCAGTGATAATGTACATGAATAAAAGGCAGTAAACATACAAACATCATTCAACATACGTCGACCGGGACCTACTGTCCAACACCAACACAACACATAAAACAATGCAAACATATGCAACACGACACCATGATATGCGATACCGACTCACTGGTTCATTCAATCGAACCCGGATAGATCGCATACACCCCCAATGGCAATGATCTATCCCCACAAGCTCCCCTTCGGAGTATGGGCAATCAACCCGGATAGATCACATACACTCCACCGAGCAATGATCTATCCCCACTATTCTCTCCTACGGAGTACGAGTA